TAATTAAGCCGCAAGTAAACAACCCCTTAATGTCTTATTTGTTAGTTTTTGATATAACCATAATCAAACATATGACAAAACAGTATGTGGTTCTTTTGCTGCAGAGTGAGAGAACTCTGTTTGGAAAAACAATGTTATTACTTACTGTGTGGGCCACACCAGTTTTTATGAAAGGGTAATTTTATCTGATTCAAATGTATGTAGACTTGAACCGTATGAACGGATCACCAATCGGATACCATGGTTAACAAAAGAAATTGTATTATTTCAAGGGGTTAAAATTTGTTGTTTTTTTACATAAAAAGATATATTACTTAAATTAAAAATAGACCTAAAAACTAAAAAATGTGAACAAATGAATCTTGATTCTTGATGATTCAATTTGGGCCTGAACATTTTAATTGGTGGGCCATATGGGCTTGCTAAATTGGGCTAAAATTGTTGGACCCTTTCTAGTTGCAACTTGCAAGTAGTTATGGCCACACCGGCCCGGCCTGGTTCAGAATAGAGGTTTCAAAAAATGACAGATTTATTCACTCTATCGATAACCGAGCCGGATCTGGTGTATCATAACAGATTTTCCTTTTCTATTGATTCCTATGGATTTTATCCAAAACAATTTCCCCTTTTTCGGTATGCCGCTCCGTGAGCTAGAATAAAATTATCAGATGTTCCATTCGTTTATAACAAATTACTGTTTTTTAAATATAGTCGTTAACTAGCAGTTTTTGACCTTTTGTTTGTATTTTTTTGGCTTCTAAACACTATAATGTGTAATAAGATTGAGAGGGTTACACACCAAGTTCTGAATTCGCAAAAAAAGGCAAAAAAACGTTCATAATTCTCGATTTCTCGCTATATTTTGTGAATTCCGCTCGTATTCATTTCTCGTTTCCACTTCATACCGAAACTCTTCAAATCCATCCGACATAGGGATACCGATGAAGAATGATGAATAAATGTATTTTCAAATAATTTTATAATAAATTTTTGTAAGACAATGAAATTTTAATTATAATAAAACGCATTTTTATAGTGTATTTGAGTAGCCCGTACGACAAATTTTATAATGTTTTAAAAATATATATCATTAAAAAACTAATTTTTTTAATGGTGGGACCGGCAGCCCATGACCAGTTGTAATAGAGTCTGACCGGTCTTCACCTTTACGACCGGGACCGGTTACAGAAGAACCGGTTATGGACGGTTTTCAAAAAGTGTGGGACCGGTTAGGGACTGGTTTTTGCCATCACTACTTGCAAGTATCCTTGTGGCTTGTGGGTTAGTTCAATAGGCAATAAGATTCGAGTCTTGTAAGGCTTGCTATTTTTCTTGTGGGTTAGTCGCTTTCTTTAACGACCGTTAAAAAAATCCTTAAATGAGAGACATTTTCATTCTTTTTCCCATTTTTTCCGTTACCCAATCAAAATCAAATTTATGCTTTTGCTTCATATGACTTTTGATTGGGTAACGGATAAAAAAAATGATAAAAAAATATGAAAATATAATTCGTATAACAATTTTTTTTAACTGTCGTTAAAGGGAGAGAACAAATACAGACGTTTTTGCAAACCACAAATCGTTATCTTGTCATTTCGAAACTGCAGAGACGAACAGTGTTATCTTTAACAAACCACATGAACCAAATTTTTAGTTTACTGAAATACGCTGTGTATTTGATTTTCCTTGGAGCATCTTCAACTGATAAGTCGTGTTTTTACCTTTTTTTTTTCTTCTAATTTTAGAGATTTCTCCATTCTCTCTATCTCTTTTCTATTTTAAAGAAGAGTTTAGGATAGTTATTGGAACAAAAAATCAGATCTGTACAGATTTCTAAAATAGCATAGGTGTAAGAGGTGCTCTTATACATTAGAAATAACTGGAAGGGTAATAGCACAATGCAGCGAGATACATCTTAATTTTAATTTTTTTTTTTGCTTTTTATGTCTCAGGTGATATTATAATACCGTTTTATGTGGTTTTGAAAAAAATACTAGTATTTTTTTTGAATAAAATATAAATATGAGGATATCATAAAAAATTAAAAAAATATATTTATATTAAAATTTCTCGTTTTTATTTATTTCTTAATTTTTTTTTAGTTTAATAGTATAATTTTTTGTAGAGGTAATAATCAAGTATTTGTTAGAACTCAATGATTGTCATAATTATATTTTAGATTTTTTATATTTAAATGGAGATGGTTATTCTCTATTTGATTATTTTTATCTGCAGTTAATTACACGAATTTAAACATGAAGCTATAATAAGTTGTAATTACGAACAATTTACTTGTAGTCTTGAATTTTAAGTAATATATATCAATAGACAATATTTCATGCATAAAAATAATTTTTAAAAGTTTTTGTTTAATGCTTTATAATACAGTATAAATTTAGATGATCTAATTTATAGATGGATTTTAAAGGCATGAGACATGGGCTAGAATAATGGGCCAACTCTTTTGGGCCAAAATTTTGCAATAAACCAAATATTCATCGAATATTTATGTATTTTTTTTTACTGGTTTAGGATTTCAATTTCGGTTCATCTTATACATATTTTGATACGATATCTTGTATCGGGCATATTAAGTTGTCAAATATGGATTTCTCTCCCACTTTATACCTTGGAACGCGTCCGCTTATTGAACAGGGTTCTATGGTCGGTTAGGGATTCCTGGATGCCGAAAGTGCTTCGGGGAGTTGAAAATAAGCATATAAATTAATTCAAAAAGATATTTTTAAACAATAATATTATAATTACTAAATCTGTAAATTGATCGATTGTTTAAATTGTCAAAATACTTTTTTCACCATGAAGTTTAAAAGTTGAGCATGTCTATACTGTATTATAAAACATTTGACAAAAACTCTTAAAAACATTTTTTTATGCACAATGTATTATTTATTGGTGTATATTACTTAAAATTCAAGATCACAAGTAAATTGTGCGTAAGAACAACTTATTAAAGCTTTATTTTTGAATCCGAGTAACTAATTATAGATAAATATAATCAAATACGAGATAAATATCTCGTTTTGAATATAAAAAATCCAAAATATGATTAGGATGATCATTAGTTATAATAAAATACTTAATTATTGTCTTTATAAAACATTATATTATTAAACGATAAATAAATTACTTCGTTATTGAATCTAATTTAAATTATAAATAAAATATTGAATTAAAAAAATTACACAAAAACAAGGACTTTAAATAGTAAACTTGATATTAATGTCGATATATATTTTTCTTTTTAAATTTTTATGATATCTTAAAATTTATATTTTATTCAAAAATAAAAACATTATCGTTTTCTCAATACCACTAAAAAACGTATTATATCGACAAAGATAAAGAATAAAACGAAACATTAAAATTAAGATATATCTCATTGTATTATATGAGCACTTTTCTAATTTTATTAAAAAAACAATATACCTCGTCATAAGTCGAGTTTTGCACCTTAAAATTTCAGACGACGGTAAGAGCTTCTCAGCTCTTATTTAAAAAAAAAAACAAATCAAACGGTCTGACAACAAAAACGTCCGATCGACTCAAACTTAAGAGGCATTAAGAGTTTTTTTTTCCAAAAAACAAACAAGCCACGAGACAGTTTTATCTGAAACTCGAAAGATGATTTGCGTTAACAGTGATACAGTTTACTTTTTCATGATGACCCTCGTATGTCATTTACTTGCTTTAAGACTTCGTTATCATCCATTACTGATCTTTTGATGCAAGATTGTCTAAAAGACAGTTCTTTCACGTTAGAACTGTCTTAAACACGTAATATGTTTACTCATTTCATTAAATTTGAGATTGAAAAATCCTTTTTGATTAAAAAGTATAAGAAAAAGGTATAAAGTTCACAAGCATTTCATGTAAGCATTACAAAATGGACAAAAAAGTTGTTTAAAGAGTCAAAATAACTAAAAGGCCTTTGGTTTAGTGGTATCATAGTATTTAGTCTCGTAAAAGGTTAAGGGTTCAAACCTCACCAAATGCGAAGAAAGTGTATAAGTTTATTTGTTACATTAAATATTATATACTTAAAAAAAGAGTCAAAATATAGTTTGATAATAATAACTCAAATGGATTGGATCAAATGGAGGGGGTGAAAGTATAAAAAAGGAAGTTTTTGAACCAAATTTACAAATGTAGGGACCAAATATGTAAATTAGTTATAGATCTGGATGAACATGACAAATGTCAAAAATTTTACTGGGTAAGAACAATGCAAAGGATGAAGAGTCTTACTCGGTAAGTGAAAATTACGACTCTTACCCAGATAAGCGCTTACCCGGTAAATTGTTGCATTCAATACGTTTTGATCTACAAAAATTTACTCATCAAAATAAATTATAGTGTTGATTTCTATAGGTAAGCACTTACCGGATAAGCATTTGGGTAAACAATCCGTAAGTGATATTTTTTTAATGTATTTTTTTGCTCCAAATTTTATAATATCTTCGCCAATTTTTTGAGTTCATAAAAAGAGAGAGATGTTTATTTATTTTTTAAAAAAGTGGCTATAATTGATTTTTTAATCATATATGTTAGATCATTTTTTAATATCTAAAATGTAAAGTTTTAAACATTTAAATACTTGGGTAACTGGTTAAAGTATTAATCAGTTACCATAAAATAACATATACATAAAAACTAATTTTAGATTAAGATATTCGTGTCAGCAAATAATACTGAGTTGTATATCACATCCCTCGTCACATTAACATAATAACTGGTTAATGCTTTAACCGGTTATCATGGTACTTAAATGTTTAAAATTTTACAATTTAGATACCAAAGTAAAAAATTTAAAAATATATTACCTAAAATAAATAAATTTAAATTATATTATTTTTTTATGTAATTTATGTAAATGAATTTGATAAAACGAAAGTGTATAATCAATTTGCCGGCATTTTTTTTCTATCCTTTACATCGGAAATTTCAGTTCCGAAAACCCTAACATAAATCATTACGCCATAGTCAACGTGGTCAAGCTCCCTTGCAGAAGGTCAGAAGCTCAGTTCTCCATCACCATGGTCGATGATGATTCAAACGAGAAGACAACCACCATACGCATTCTATGTCGCAAACTTGTGCTGATCACAAAAACCGAATCAGGCATACAATGGTTGATCGGTTCACCGTTTCTCCCTACCTTCACCATCATCTCAACCTTCAGATGCATTCACACCCTTCCGTCCGATCCTCTCTCTCCAGATTTCTCCAAGGAATCAGGTAAAACCCCCAATTATTATTCAATAATGCATTCGATTGACTATGCCTATGCAAATATCATTAAATGGATATGATGGATCGTCAATTACTATCAAAAGAATCCACAATCCCATTCCCCCTGTCCGTAATTGGCATTGATTTCATCGTGTAATATGGTCCAACATGTTCTTGCCATGGCACTGAATTTTAGGGTGTTCGCACCACATATGTTGCTTGAGTATTTTTCCAAAAAGCGAACCGTAACGCATGAACCTCAAACTATAAGTTTGTACATGTCGCATCTTATGCATACAATCCATTAATTATAAGATTTAACTTAATTATACAATCAACGATAACATGACCTAATCCAAAAAATGAAAAGTTTCAATTGGGAGAGCGCCAATTGAAGTTAATAGATGGCGATTGAAGTTTGAAATCGTGAGTAAGGCGTAGATTGGATCTAAATATTGAAATCTTTTGAAACTTGAGATTTGATAGTAAACTATGGCAGAAGCCCCAGATTCATCATGATTCATGACCTTGCTTAGAGCCTAAAAGTGCCTAATGGATTATTGGGCTATAATTTATTAATATTATGGATCAAAATCCAATTTTTTTGACTTATTAATGGACGATGGAGAAAATATATTAAAAATATTACATAAATTAGCAATTATTCTCTCTCTATATATGTCATATATAAAATTAAAAACATATATATTTGCGGTGAGGTGCGGGTTGAACCGCGTTTTGATGACTCAATACCGCAAACACACCACATAGTGCGGTTTGGTAAAAATGCAACCCGCAACCCGCACCATGGAAGTTCTAAATTGCGTAGACTTGAGGAATCAACATGTTCTGTAAGTGGTGTAACTTTTCTTTATTATATGTGATTATATAAGGAATTTGGAAGGGGAACTGCAAAATAAAGGAGATTAACCCATATGCTTATGTGTTTGAGTTTTAGTTGGATTATTTTTGGGCAGATGATATTCAGGCATTGTTACCCAGGGGATTTGAGGTAATTGGAGCTTTGATTGTTGGTGCCAGCAACTTGAATGTTGAAGGGTGTGCCCGAGATGCCATAGACGCCTCAGGTCTAATGAGGAAGGCACTTTCACAGTCGGAAACTCATGGTTTAGTTGGAGCTGTTGTGGATCCAAGCTCTGGAGACATTCGTTTTTTTATATCGAACTCTGTATTTGAATCGGCCACTTCAGTTGTGTATGAAGACCAGCCTCAGAAGTATGTTTGGGAGAGAAGTTGTGTACTGAGCTGCGAGCTTCCGATCAAGTTACCAGTGTATTATTCTCTGAAGGATCCAAAAGGTACATCATTCTCTATAATTTGTACCTGGGTTGTAGTCGGTATGCTATATGTTGTAAAGTTTGTAGGCATTCCTTTTGCTCCAGCTACTAGATGATGATAACCACATAGTTACTGTAATTGTTTGTTAGTCTGTTATACCCTAATATTAGCTGTACAAGAGAGGTATGTGTAGTGGAGGATCATTCTAGATTCCAGAGGTAGTAACGGGGAAGGGTTAGTTTGGGCGGGAGGTTCTGTTAGCTTATGTGATGGGAGTATGAATAAGTGGGGTGAGGACTGAGGAGCATGAAGGGGAATTCTGTTATTGTGTTAATTTGGACATGAATCCTTAGGAGTGCTTCAGGTCTCTTGAAAGCCAGGAAACACCTAGTAATCATTTGGTTGTGACTTGTGAGTAGTTAATATCAATCTTACCACTAATTCTGCTATTATTGGTCCGGGGTACACCAAACTAGTGGTAAGATTGATATTAACTACTCACAACCGATTGAAATGTAGTTTGATAGTAGCCAATCCATTTACATCCAACGATAGCTTATTATATTGAGAAGGTCAACAAGCGTTCAAGTCTTGTTGGTCTACAAGGTAGTCAATGCCCTCTGCAGAGCTAGTGATCAGCTAGTCGTTTCGACACATTCCAAGGAAAAAAAAATATTTTTCTGGTCAGATTCTTTTATTAATACCGGAAAATTGCTACATGTCATCAGAGGCGGACCCAGAATTTTTTCAAGTGGTAGCATAGTTTGACTATAAAAAAATATCTAATTTTTTTTTCACAATATTAGTATAGAGCTGTTGGTTGGTTCCTTGTCCTTACTCCTTACATAGAAAAAACCCATGTTCGAGTCCAGCATACATATATTTTAAAACACAAGAGGAATATAAAAAACACCAAAATTTAGCTAAAAAACAACCAATTCGACGACTGTAGGACTCGAACCTGGGCTTATTGTACAAAGGAAGGAGCAGTTACCATCTTAGCCATTAAATCTTGTGTTAATATTTCAATTTCAAAAACTATATGGTGGCACCTAACAAAACAATACAGTGACACCCTTCAGAAACGTTTTTTTTCCCGCTTACGATGGAACCATGAAGCGGTGGCCCGTGCCACCGTATCTATCTATGTGGGTCCACCCCTGCATGTCATAAACAATAACCATAGAGACATCTAGGTACGGTTACATTCATTGTGCTTCCATGAGTCAGAAATGCTTGTTTGTTAAAGTAATGCACGTATGAATATTTTGTTATTTTTCATTTCAGATGCAGAAGACATGCTAACACGTGCAACTGAGGCCGTTGCTTCTAAACTTAGAGACGTTAAAACTACTTACATGCTAGAAACCCTTGATGGATCCGTCACCAAAGCACCACAGCCGGTCATTATTTGGAACAGTGAATTGGGTCTCCCATCAGACTTCACTTTTGGAACGCCTTCAGATAATACTTCTCAAGAATCTAATGCAAAATCTTTATCGTGCTCGCACTTTTTCTCTGAAGATAGGAACCACAAATCTTGTTCAGTAGAGGTAATTTCATATCAAAAGTAGTTATTTGTGTTGCTTTCACGTACTTTGAGGTTTTACTCGGTTCTTATCATTCTCTGGTAATTGTATTGCAACATCAGCTTGTTTCGATGTTATTTCTTGATTGAAATCTTTGTGATAGTTTCTTTGCTTAGAATGCAGATAAAATCCATGTAACCTTCTTACTTGCTACCTCAGGAGCCTCTATAAAACCCACTGCCCCATTTGCCGAATATATTCCAGGTATTGAGTGTATTAATAGATAAGCTCTTGCTATTCACATGTGAATTGAGGCCCTCTTCGTAATTATATACCCCAAAATTTTAGGAATTCCTTACTTTTGCTTCATTACAAAAGTGTAAGTTGATTATATTTGGACCTACAGGTGAAGCTAAGCTCCTGGTTGTCGACTATAAACTGAAAGTTATCTGTTATGCGGCAAAGGATCTTCATTTGACGGATGCAGTTTCAAAATTGATTATTCCGGGGTTAGTTGACCAGTTACGTTCTATGAAAAACATGACCTTATCAAATATATTATCACAGCACCCAAAGGTAAAAATATGCCGTTTAATTTGTATGTCTTTCTTTCTTACTTTTCCTTGTCTCTTACCTATTGAAATTTGATTGCCTTATAGCTACATCCATATCACTTCAATCCTCCAGGATATCTACATCCAATAACTGCCATTTATGAATCACATTATGGCGAGACAGAAATGAAGCAAGGTACAACACATTTAGGGGCTGTTTGGTTGGTTTTCCATTAAGTCTTGTGTGGATTAATCAATCTGTATATATTGGGAAGTTTTTTTGTTTGGGTGGTTTTTCATAGATGGAAGGAGCGTTTTTCTAATTGGGAGAGGCATGTTTGGAAAAAAACTTGCTTTTTGTATAAAGCTTCTCCTAGAAACCTACTGAATAAGTCACTTTCTATATCATTAAGCCATTCCAAAACAGTCATGTATAGCTAACTGAATAGTTGTGAGTCCCAGGAAGCTCATTAAGCTGCTAATAAACAGGCCTTTAGTTATTTACTGGTTATTATGGGCTCTAGAATTATGTCTTTCAGAAGGAGAAAAAGTTAGCTCTTCTATGAGCCTACCTTGATTCGCATGCCATTCGACACTTAAACATTCTACAAAGTTAACTATGTATAAAAGAATTATACATATGTAAATGGGATTTTATATGGCTCTAGCCATTGAAGAAAAACTGCTTATCATGTACACACAATTGAATCATTAATTATTTTTTGATTACCTATATGGCGGGAGGTTCAGGGAAACCCCCCCAAAAAAAATGAAATACTGAGCAACACTCTGGTAACCATTCATCTGGACGGTATGCACACGTGCATACAAGTAATTGAAGTTGTTTCTTGGTTTTTATGAACGTGTGCATGTTATGCACATGTGCATACCAGACAAATTGCTTACAAATTTACTTGTATGCATATGTGCATACCATCTAGATGAACGGTTACCAAGGTGTTCCTCAGTATTTTATTTTTTTGTGGTGTTCCCCTAAACCTGGCCCTACATGTATATTACCTATCTTATTGCATTCTTGCACGTACCTTGCGTCGTGTACAAGGGGTCTTCATGGAAACAACCTATCGATCCTAGCCATTGAGGTAAAGTTTGCATACATCCTTCCCCTCCCATACCCTATTCTGGAGTGGGATATACAGGGTTCGCTTGGTTTGGTTTAAAGTATTTGCTTGACAACTTATGTCAATTAAGTTGATTTTGATTCTTGAATTGGGGTGGGTTGGGTTGGTTTGCCTAATTCTGACACATGGTCTCTTCAGTTGAAATCAGAAGAGCTCTTCACTTGAGGTTGGGATTACCTTTAGACCGTCCTCTTCTAAGAATTGCTAGTGCCATGAACTTCTCAATTCCAAAGGAAGGTGCAAGCGGCAACATTTTACGAAAGGGTAATATGATATTATGTCATATGTACTGATTGCTGTCATACGCTCACATCTTGGTTCTTTTCGTTGCTAATATATTGTTACGAAATCAGGAATTCCTTTGCTCAAGGATGTACACATGGGGATCCCAAATAGTGGAGGTAAGTAGCTTCACCAAATCTTTTAATCGTTTGTACTTCCTGTTTTATTAAAGTTATGTGTCGTATGAACCAGTTGCATACTTACATATGATGCTCTATTGTAGTTCAAGGTGGAATTGTATCTTTGGTTCAAGGTTCTTATGAGTACCATCATTACCTTCAAGATGGTTTTGATGACTCGGTAAATTTTTTGTCTCAACTACTCCCTCCGTCCCAAAATAAATGTCCAATGAAAAGGGTCCACAGTTTTAGAAATGTGTAGTTATTACACTTTGCAATTAACTAAATGACAATTTTACCCTTAATGATGGAGGGAGTAATGAGTTTCTCCCTCTCGTAGTTAAGGGTAGAATTGGAAATAGGCACTTTTGAAAGTGGACACTTATTTTGGGACAAACTAAATTAGCAATGTAGACACTTATTTTAGGATGGAAGGAGTATTTAGAGTTATTGAACAACTGAAAATCCATCTTTCCTTTTGATGAAGAAGAAGAAATTTCTGATAAGTTTTCTTATCTTAATGTCAGGGCTGGGGTTGTGCTTACCGCTCTCTTCAAACCATAGTTTCATGGTTTAAAATCCAACAGTACACGTCTATTGGTGTTCCTTCACACAGGTAAACTAATAATGATCTACTTTTATAAATTTTGTGAAATCACTACTTCGATATATATATATATATATATATATATATAGAGAGAGAGAGAGAGAGAGAGAGAGAGAGAGAGAGAGAGAGAGAGACGGAGGGGAGGGAGGTTCAGCCCAAAAAATGAAAAACTGAGGAACACCCTAGTAACCGTTCATCTGTAAAGTATGCATATATGCATACAAGTAATTGAAGATGTTTCTTGGTTTCTATTCATGTGTGCATGTTATGCAGGAAAAATTACTTACAAATCATTTGTATGCATGGGCATACCGTACAAGATGAACAAATTACTAGGGTGGTTCTCAGTTTTCCATTTTTTGTGGTTTCCCCTGAACCTGACCCTATATATATACATATATATTCATTCTAAATTATAAAAATGTGCTACATCGGGAAACTGAGAACTACATCTCTTCAGGGAAATACAACAATCACTTGTGGAAATCGGAGATAAAGGCCCTTCGTTTGTCGGGTCACATGAGTGGATTGGTGCCATTGAACTAAGCTTTGTTTTGGACAAGCTACTTGGTGTAAGTTTGCTACTTTGCTCATCATTCATGGTTTACAAGTACTCCCTTCTTCCCAAAATAAATGTTCACAATGTAAATGACATAGTTCTAGTAATGTGTAATTATTACACTTTTTAATTAAGTAATGACCAATTTTACCCTTAATAATAGAGAGAATTTCTCCATCGCACTATTAAGGGTAAAATTGGAAAGTAGATACATACCTTTGAAAGTGGACACTTATTTTGGGACGGAGGGAGTACTTCCTTTGCCCCATGAAAATTGCAACGCTTTCCTTTTCTGGGAATGTCCCATGAAAATTGCAACACTTTCCTTTTTGGGAATGTCCCATGAGAATTGCAACATTTCATCTTGTGGAAACTTTTCAAGGTACAGTTACATCAATTCCATTACTAACCATTACAAAATATTACTCCATTCGTCTCTAAATATGTCTATATTTCTATTTTAGTTTGTTCCAAAATAAGTGTTCACCATCAAAAGTGCCTACTTTTCAATTCTACCGTTAATTAGGAGACAGAGAAATTCATTATATCTCTATTATTTGTAGGACTGCAGTAGATATTTATATAACTACCGGCTCATGTAACAGGTAAGCTGCAAGGTCATAAATGTGAGATCCGGAGATGAATTACCCGAAAAATGTAGAGAACTTGCGATGCATTTTGAGACCCAAGGAACACCCATCATGATCGGTTAGTGAAGCATCGCTTTGTAATAATCTTTCTTACCATTTTTAGCCAAATATGTCTAAATGTTCTGATAGACTGCTTTATAGTACTAAACCATTGTACGTTGTATGTAAATGTGTTACGGTAAGTTATAAGACACTTCCGGGCGTCCCAACAAGTTTTTCAAAACACTTTTGAAATAAAGCGTCTTATTAGTCTTTTTATATATTATTTGAAAAAAATTCTTATAAAAACTAATGCCAATAAAAAGATGTTCATAGGATACTTCTCAAAAGTGTCTCGTATAAAAAAACGAAGGGGTTGTTTACCAAACGCTTACTCAGGTAAGTGAACATCAAGTCATATTATCTTACCGGATGAATATGGTAAGGACCAAGAATCTTACCTGGTAAAAGCAAGACAAGGACCAAGAGTCTTACCCGGTGAGTGAGGGAGAGGACTCTTACCACGGTACGCGCTTACCGGGCAAATTGTTGCATACGTTACCGTCTTGGTGGAGTAAAATCTTTACCCGATAAATAAATGATAGTGTTAAATTTTACCGATAAGTGTTTAGTAAACGGCCCCTAAGACATCCAAAAACAGTCATATCAATTCATCGTAACAATTTTACATAGGGCACAACCCGAGTCCTATAAAGCAGTTTATTAGGACATTTAAACATATTTGATGTCCTATAAAGTCGAAATTTTGGTAGTGTATGCACATTCAGATCACCAAGAAATTCGTTTTGTGGGGCACCCTTTATTCACTTGGGTTTATATACACGTGGCAGGTGGCGGTGTTCTTGCGTATACCCTTCTCGGAGTCGATTATAATGAAGCAAGCGGAGATTGTGCGTTTCTAATACTCGACCCTCACTATACGGGCAACGATGATCTAAAGAAAATAGTGAACGGTGGATGGTGTGGATGGAAGAAAGCCGTTGACAGCAAGGGGAAACATTTCTTCTTGCACAATAAGTTCTACAATCTCTTGCTCCCACAAAGGCCAAACATGGTCTGATTTTAAGCATACCGATATGATTAGGGCACTAGTAACCCTAAAGATAAAAAAAAACACTTTTCGATGGTACAACGGTGTGTAAACTAGTCGGTGTTCTTGACGGAATACCGACGGTCGGGAATGTTTTCGCTTGCTTTTTGGGAAATGACGTTTTTAGCCCTGCACCAGGGGTGAGGGACCTTCTTGGAAACGGTCTTTTTTTCGGTCACAGATGTAAGGTCTGGGTACCTCTCATGATCCCGTCTTCAAGTAGGATATACTACAAGTGTGCAATACGCAACATCAACCAACGGAAAAACGTAGTCACGGACTGTGCTAAATATTGATGTTAAAAAGATGACCTTTTTTATCATTTTGGTTTATTAAAACATTTGGTCTGGTGGGTTTCATCATCTTTAATTATATGATTCATGTGATATGATGAAAGGTCATTGGAGAATCTCCTTTTGACCATCTTTGATAAAAAAAATGGTAAATTGTATGTAAAAGTAACGTACTTTAATTTGATTACTATTTTGGTAACGTATTTTCAAAACTTTTATTTTCTTATCTAAGATGTAAAGTTTTAAACATTTAAGTGTTCGGGTAACCGGTTGAAGCATTAACTCAGTTTTATTTGTTGACGTGGTTAGTGATAGAGATTTTTTAATCTAAAATTAGTTTTCAACCAATTACCTGAGTATTTAAATGTTTAAAGCTTTACATTTTAGATATCAAAATGGAAGTTTTGAAAGTACATTACCCAAAATAGAATTCAAGTTAAAATACGTTATTTTTTCATGCAATTTGCCCTTAAAGAAAAACCAATTAGCTACGATTTTGGGTCGAATCAAACCGAAATTAAAATGTTTTTGGCGATGAGGTTTGGTTTAAATTATAGTTATAACTATATTTTTAGATTATCTGAATCTAGACAGTTTAAAACTGTATTTATTCAGGGTTCTATGGATTTTTTTCTTATATATGTTTATCTGTAAATCGTCCATTGTTGTAACTTGTGTTTGTGTTTCAAGTATATATTGTTCATGGGTTGGGTTCAAGTGAAACTAGTCTGTTTTTCGTGAGACCACATTTTACATTTGAAACTCCACAGCAAAACGTTGTGAAAGTTAAAAAAAGCCAAACCTTCATAACAAAAACACTATGAAGGTTACTTTTACAACATTTTGCTGTGAAGTTTTAAGTGTAAAAAAGTGATCTTACGAAAACCAGTCTCACATGATCCCAAGTCTATTGTTTATGCTTTTAATTAGATAATGAAAAAAGTTCAAAAAATTCCAATAAACATTCTCATTTTGAATGGTTTGGTACATAAACTATTTTTCCGAATGGAAAAATCATTAAGATTTTTCATTTTTGAATGATTAAGTCACTGAACTTTCTTTTTGAATGGAAAAAACTATAAACTTTCATATTTTGAATGATTAAGACCTTTAATTTCTTTTTTAAATAAACCATCGAACTTTTAATAGTTGGTTAATGTAATTTTTTTGGTTTAAAAGAATGTAGGTAACCTATTATTAAAAGTGCAATGGTTTATTTATTAAAAAAATGTTTAGGGATTTAATCAATCAAAAAGAGAAAGTTTAATACTTTTTCATTCAAAAATATCACGATCTGTGTTCTTCTTGTATTTTATACTGTACGTTTTTATTCTTTCATTAAACTCTAAAATAAGCTTAAATCGTACAAACCGGTTACATTATATTGTATTTGGCACTCATGTTTTGATTAATATGATCACTTGATACTTAAATTCCAAATGGCACATTTAGGAAAAATAATTATTATGTATTTTTTTATTAACCTGGATATCCAACCCGCTATGCGAGTCGATTAATCTCAGGACGACCACCTGTTTTGCAGATAGCCCGGAATCACCGCATTTGAACCTCCGTGACCACAAGGGGATTTTTATTCCTCCTTGGAATTATTATGCATTTACGGTTTAGTTTGTTAAAGGAAGGTTAGACTGTTCTAGAATGAACCCTTAAACCCAACAGAGGAGCTCAACGATCTACAATCTTATATCAGAATAAAAAACTGTATGTGCATACAATACTAGTTTAAAACTGGTTTCCTCCCAAACCGGACCACAAACTAGACTCAAACATCAGCTAAGTGATTTAAGACTAATCATTCATCAAACCGATGTTTCATTAAGGTAAGAAAAACCTGAATAAGATCATATTGGACATATAACCGGTTAACTGAAGTCGAGTACACCAGTTCTAATTTGCTTTATTGGTTCTGTACCCAGTTTTAACATGTAGTTAGCTATTAAGCTTACGCACCATATGGTTTCTTTAATAAGCGTCGTCGTTTAAAAAGTTTCATACTTAAATCTTGTCGTCTGTAGATAATATCAAGTTTTTAGATTGCCGAGAAGGCATTATATATCTGTTTCCTTATTTGTATAAAAATGATCCATTGCTGACGTACCTTTTACGCCCAACCGTTTCAAAGAACGCTCCCTACTGGTCTTACTGTAGCTGCTGACACAGAGTTAGCTGGGGATAAAATGATATGAATACGTCAGTTTCAATAACGGGTTAAAATGAACTGTTTTTTAACACGTCAACGTAGGTCACACTTATCAATGACCCGACATCGTGTTATTATTTTATTATTAATTTTTATAAATAAATAATATACAAAATATAAATAAGAAAGCTATTATAAAAACATAGAAAATAATTGAGGTTTTTACGGGGTGTTTGGGATTGCTTATTTGAAACGACTTATGATTTTCTACAAAATCACTTATCAACTTATTATAAGTCAGAAGTGTTTAACTTCTTTAAAAAATGCTTATTATCGGTATGGTACTGGTATAAGTTATTTATCCACACACTAAAAAATGCTTATTACCAGTGATACATCGGAATAAGTCAATAAATTTTTTTATAAGCAATCCCAAACACCCCTTTAATGGATCAATTTTTTTTAAAAAAGAATTCATTTAATAACATTAAAAAAAAAACCCTAAATACCAGGGGCAAACTGGTCTTTTCACAAAAGAACCAAAACCCTAGATTGGTTGAATCTGAACTAAAAGAAGGCCAAAGCAGAGACCAATGACGGTGTACAACCCTTATTAGCACAACTGCCACGTGTAATGTCGCTAATAGACGGTGACGTGTCCACGTAACCGTAGCCTCCCTATAAAATAAACCTACTCTCCGTCCTCATCCATTTCCATTTCGTTATCTTTTCTCTCTCTCTCTCTCTCATAAAAACACGCACTCTCTGTGTGAAACTGTGTGTGTATTACGCACACAGTTAACTGATCTAGGGTTTCATTCATATTCACATAACCACCATTTCCATCTCTGCAAATTGATTTTGGAACCGATTTCACGACGTTTTTCTAGATTGATCTTGTATTTGATATCTCCTGTCTTGGCTCGAGATCCGGGCCAAGTGCACAGGAAGAAGAGGAATCTGTTGTTCGAAGGAGTGAAGTTTTATCGCATTCGTTATTGAATCGAATAAGTGAAGTGAGAAGAGGTGATTGACGGATCTATTGTGTAATTAATCGATTTCAATTTGATTGTGGTTGTTGTGTTTATGGTTGTGTTGATTGATGTTGATACTGTGAACTTTTTTTTTCGTGTAGGATTTGCAAGTGGAAATGGCGGCGCCACGCGAGGGGTTTCTGACTGATGAACAGAGGGAGGTGCTGAAAACAGCAACTCAGAGTACTGAGGTTTTGTCATCGTCGCCGAAGTCGCCGTCATGGTTGATGTCTGAACATCAAATTAAAGCCCCGGCTGGGGAAAGGGCGCCAAACGTTGGAATTGCTGTGAGGCATGTGCGTCGTTCGCATTCGGGGAAGTTCGTCAGGGTTAAGAAAGGTACGTGTTATTTTGTTTCTAGTTAGAGTATAATTTTTTTCAGGTTTTGCTATTTTGTCTAACTATGAGGTCCTTGATGGTGGATTGCGTCTTGTGTGTGGTGTCGCTATTTTGCTTTAACTCCTGTGGTTTGTCTCGTCGTTTTGAGTCATTAGAATAGGTAACTGAATATATTGTGGCAATAGGTGCTGTTCTTCGAATTCTTTTTACCATATTCGTATCTGTTGGTGGTGTACTTTTCAAGTTTTGTCTCTGCAACAGACAGAAGTGTTTCCGTCTTAGAATCAGTGCAATTAGATCTGGATCTGGTGGATGGATTGATGATTGAGAGTATTTTCCTCGTCTGATTGATGTTATAAGTGTCCCTCAGTCTGTACTCTATCCCATCGGCAATGTTTGTTGAGATCTTTGGGGGGGGGGGGGTGAAACCAGAAGATAGTAAAGAGATAATGGTATCTTGAATTCTTGATTGGGGGAGTATGACATTTACTTGTTTTTGTTTGTGTCAATGATGTCATGAAGGTTGCATTAAAAACGTATATGTCTCTAAGTGAGGCATATGTTTGAAGGCTAGAGTTGAACTTATTTGTGGAACTCCATTCTGTGAAGTTATGGTGCTTGCATATTCTTTTGTATTAGTCAACTCTTAGGAAGATTCCATGTCCAACGCGTACCAAATAAATTCTAGGAAGAGGTGTTGCAGGTAAGCCATGGGATCATGTTTTTTAGGCTTGTATCAGATTAATAAGAACATTATTCATTAGGATCTAGGAATAAGTTGCGGATGGATCATGCTGAATTGACTAACTACACAATTCTGTTTCTTTTTCCTTCTATTCAGAAAGGCCTTCTCCTAACCTGCGTTTATGTTTGTATAACCACCTTATAATCTTTTTTGCTCTGTCTCATCTTTCTCTGTATAATTTTGAGTTGATTGGTATGAACAAGTGGTCCTATTTTTCTGTTTCTTTGGCATGTTGTAGCTTTTATACAACTGTATTTATACCCTTTTGCTGACCGACTCTAAAAACAGATGGAGGTGGTGGTAAGGGTACCTGGGGAAAACTACTCGACACCGATGGCGATACTCATATTGATCGCAATGACCCTAATTATGATAGTGGCGAGGTAGCTATTTTTGATTATTTCATCCTTGCTCTCTCCTTGTTACTTGAATATATGCAATCTTCATCTGCTGAATCCAATTGCTGTTATTTGGAATTTTCAACCCTTTTTTGTTTTTTACAGCACATTCATGTGATCGAATTTTTGTTCATGAAATTATAGGAACCATATCAACTTGTTGGGTCAGCCATTTGCGATCCTTTAGATGAGTACAAGAGAAAAGTGGCATCCATCATTAATGAATACTTCACCACCGGTGATGTGGATTTGGCAGCATCTGAGCTCAGGGAACTAGGGTCCTTTGAATACCATCCTTACTTCATTAAGAGGCTTGTATCCATGGCCATGGACAGACATGACAAGGAGAAAGAAATGACTTCAGTTCTTCTTTCAGCTCTCTATTCCGATGTTATCAGTTCCATACACATTAAGCAAGGATTTTTCATGCTTCTTGAGTCTGCTGATGACCTAGCAGTTGACATACTCGATGCAGTTGAAATACTTGCTTTATTCATTGCCCGTGCTGTGGTTGACGACATCCTTCCCCCAGCCTTTGTGACCAGGGCAAAGAAATCACTATCGGAGTCGTCAAAAGGCTTTCAGGTTCTTCAAACTGCAGAGAAAAGCTATCTCTCGGCTCCACATCATGCAGAACTGGTGGAGCGCCGATGGGGAGGCAGCACCCATATCACTGTGGAGGAAGTTAAGAAAAGGATTTCTGATCTCTTGAGGGAATATGCAGAGAGTGGGGACACTTCTGAGGCCTGTAGGTGCATCAGGCAGTTGGGTGTTGCATTTTTTCATCATGAAGTTGTCAAGAGGGCCTTAGTTCTAGCCATGGAGATTCGTGCATCGGAGCCACTCATTCTAGAGCTATTGAAGGAGGCATCGGTGGAAGGTCTGATAAGCTCCAGTCAAATGGTCAAGGGCTTTGCCCGTTTACGAGAGAGCCTAGATGACCTGGCACTGGATATCCCTTCTGCAAAATCGTTGTTCGAGTCGCTAGTCCAGCATGCAGTTGCTGATGGCTGGCTTGATGTTTTGTTTGTGAACTCATTGGGAGAAGGGGTGCTGATGGAGGCCGAGGATGATGAGAAACTGAGAAGATACAAAGAAGAGATTGTGACTATAATTCACGAGTACTTCCTTTCAGACGACATACCTGAACTCATCAGGAGTCTTGAGGATCTAGGATTACCTGAATATAACCCAGTTTTCTTGAAGAAGTTGATAACTCTTGCCATGGACAGAAAGAACAGAGAGAAGGAAATGGCATCTGTTCTGCTCTCTGCACTTCATATTGAGATCTTCTCGACTCAAGATATTGTTGACGGTTTTGTCTTGCTTCTTGAATCTGCAGAGGACACGGCTCTAGATATCCTCGATGCTTCAAACGAACTCGCACTTTTCCTTGCAAGGGCCGTCATTGATGACGTATTGGCTCCCCTGAATTTGGAGGAGATTGGGAGCAGGCTACCACCAAACTGCAACGGCAGCGAGACTGTTCATGTGGCTCAGTCGCTTGTTGCAGCCCGTCATGCGGGTGAGAGACTACTGAGGTGTTGGGGAGGTGGGACCGGGTGGGCCGTGGAAGACGCAAAGGACAAGATTGTGAAACTACTGGAAGAGTACGAGAGTGGGGGCGTTGTTGGTGAGGCTTGTCAGTGCATTCGTGATCTGGGGATGCCGTTCTTCAACCATGAGGTGGTGAAGAAGGCTTTGGTGATGGCTATGGAGAAGAAGAATGATAGGATGCTGGATTTGTTGCAGGAATGCTTCAGTGAAGGGCTGATAACTACAAACCAGATGACAAAAGGGTTTGGGAGGATGAAAGACGGGCTGGATGATCTTGCACTTGACATTCCGAATGCTGACGAGAAGTTCAAGTTGTATTATGAGCAGGCCACGAACCGAGGGTGGCTCATTCCTGCTGCATTTGGTGCTAATGGTGATGCTGATGCTGATGCTGTGGCTATCTTCGCTTCTTAGATGCCAATCTCTGTACAAGGTACACATGATGATGTTATATGAATCTTTTCAGTGTTTTCTTTCTGAGTCTTATTCGTGTTGGGAGCAAGTCTTACCTGATGATGTATAAAATGGTTAGATGGTTGGTTGTTTTTCGAAACCTAGTTAGATGGTCAGACTGCATCTTGATACAATGAATGAAAACCTGCTACTGATTTTGTTTTAGCATATGGGGATATATATATATATGTGTATGTATATCTATCTGTGTATCTTTCTACTTTCATATTATAGCTCATATTTCTTCTTTGCTTCAGAAATTATGATTTGTGTTGGTTATACAAGTCCAAATCCGGATAACTTGTTTGCTCTGATGATTTTTACCGCAAATTTAGCGTTTTATTTGTGGTTATATATATATATATATATATATATATATATATATATATATATATATATCGGGCTGAGTTCCGGTAAGAACAAGAGTTATGGTGAAAAGGGTAAGAATGGATCTCCACTCTTGGATCAATCCTCATTGAAGGGAACCGCTAATGAGAGCCACTAGATCAATTCTCTCCTAAGGCTCTTATTCATGGGTTGTTTTGGGATTAATTAAGAACCACCAGATCAACAGCAATAAAAAATATCAAGGATCCAAATCCATTCTTAGACTTCTCATTTTAACTCCTATTACAGCATGATCCTCCTACGTCTGGCCCTATATGTTAGTTGGGCCTTTGAGCTCTTCCTCATAGGTCTAACGGCTCAAGTCCATCGGGGATTTTCCAGGCTATTTCCATGGACTGGCATTAGTCAAAGTGCCCATAAGCTGCCTGGATATTCGCATGTGGTTATATATATATGGTTATTGATTGGACCTTCGGGGATCCTACTTATAGTCATAGGAAGGCCGTTTGAGTTCTGCAAGGCCTAGGGATCTTCCCAAGCCGTTATCGGGATACCCACTGTTGATAGGAGTCTTTTAGGAAGAGGGATTGATGGTTTATCTGGTGACCATGAGCTATCCTTGCTTCTACGTGTAGATAATACAATAGTAGTAACATAATCATGATGTATTGATTGTTGAAATATTTGCACACGAGATCGTCGTTGATAAAACGTTGAACGGTCCATGTATACATAACTAAAATATTGTACCTCATACACATAGTTTGTGCGATATCCGAAACATGCACCCACAATTTACATTTTTGCAATTTGTGAAGCCTCTTTTTCTTTCTTGAAATGACAAACATCTACGGGTTGCAATCTAAGCATACTGTTTTTGAAGAAGGCTGCTGCAAAATGCAAGATCAAATCGTTCTTCTGGTGGGTCTCCGATGCAATCGAAAACTGCATCTGCGTTTGCAAAGTCCTCATCCGCCGTGTAACTGTTATGTATTCATCCCCCATTAAACGATTTAGGATTGATCTTCTTAGAGTGTTATATAACTCAGAAGAAAAGATAACTTACCCACTCTTTGTGACGATGCATGTCATTCCTGCGGCTTTTGCAGCTGCGAGCCCGATCCCACTGTCTTCTACAACCACACATCTGCAAAGAAAAAACCTTCATTCACTTCCCAACACGACGTTTTTACTCCGGAAACGAACCAATATATCCCAATCGAAAGTCTTAAGTTACGGGATTTCACGTGTAGCTAAATGTTAAAAACAACGATAGCGATTTATAGTTTTAGATGAAGGTAAACCTTGATGGTTCAACACCCAAAGTGGTGGCTGCTAGTTTGTAAATCGCCTGCCAACAATATTTACGATCGTTGTCAATAGAACTCGAACCAACAATGATTATACAGTTTGTAACGAAAACTAGGAAGTCGGTCTACCGGATCAGGTTTTTTACGAGGAACCACATCTCCTGCAAATATTTGGATTTTTGCCGCTCGCTCAGCTCCCAAAAGAAACGAGACTATCGCAGACACCTGGAATCACAAATGTAATATGATAACGACTATGCCAAACACGAAGAACGGGATGATGGATACATACCGCCTTTTCGTTAGAAGTACTGCAAACAGCAACTTTGACATCTTTGGCAAAAGCCTGATCAATCAATCTGTAAACACAACAAAATATCTCCGATAACTTCTCTGTAGTTCTGTTAGGGTGCAATTGGTAATACACGGGATTGGACACACAACAGTGAGGTATGTAACATCCACGCTATCCGTATCAGATATTGTCCGCACACAACATGCACGTTTTAAAACCGTGAGTCTGCCTGTGGATGAAGCGGAATATTTGGTATGGTTGGACGGGATGTTACATAGTTACAGGGTAGGCGAGTAAAAGAATTGTGCAATTTTTTAGGATTTTAACTTGACATATGCAATTTAGTAATTTACCAAACTTGTGTTATCTCTGTTATTTTTGTTCTATCTATTTTGGTAGAATTAAAAAATGCATATTTGTTCTGCTCAAGTCCCGTCCCGTCTCGTCTTTGCTATTGGCATGTGAAATGTGAGACAAGAAGTTTTTATACTGTGTATGCTGAGACAAACGTGGACAACAAAGTTTTTGTACTATGTATGTTGCACCAAACGTGTAACAACAAATTTTTGTACTGTATATGCATGCTAAAAGTGAGACAACAAGTTTATGTACCTTGTATGTTGTGCCAAATGTGGCTTGTATTGTGTATGTCACGCCAAAAGCGAGACAACAATTTTTTGCACTATGCATGTCGAGCCAAACGTGGGACGACGAGTTTTTGTATTGTGTATGTTGCATCAAACATGGGACAGCGTTTTCCTACTGTCCTATCCCGTATTCCCGTGTACTAAACACACCTATAAAGAAACGGAGAGAAACAAAGAAATCCCTTACTTTGCAACTCCGGGGCGAAGTGGCAACAACTTCTTCTCTATGAGGACCATAAACAGCTCGGTTTTTCGCTTGTGGAGTGAAGCTATAAACTCCTTCCGTTCTTGTTCACCCTTTGGCGCGTTTTCTGGCCAACCCGTTTCGTTAAAGTAAGCTGTCATTCTTTTGGTTCAAAGAAGTCGTTATCGAAGGTGTCGAAAAAAATAATCAATCTTGTCCAAGAATTCACAAAGCAAAAATGGGTACCTTTCTTTTCCACCACCAATTTTAAGCAATTCACCATACAAGTTCACATCCCATGTTACACCCAACTCTTTCTGTGTAATCAAATCAAATTGGGTAAGGGTACAAGATCTAATAGCAAATGTATAAACCACAATATATTTCATATAGAAATATGGCTTGTGGGTATGATATATGCACAACCTTCTTTTAACATACAGAACAGAAAAAGGAACAAAAGAGCATGCATATATGCAAAGAAATATATAAATTGCATGAAAAAGTAACCTACTTTAACTTGATTTCTATTTTGTGTAACGTACTTTTAAAACTTTCATTTTGGTACTTTAAGATGTAAAGTTTTAAACATTTAAGTACCCGAATAACCGGTTGAAACATTAACCAATTATCATGCTGATGTGGTATCCAACTCAGTATTATTTGCTGACGTAGTTAGTGACATGAATTTTTTTTGATCTACAATTAGTCTTCAACCAGTAATCTAGATACTTAAATGTTTAAAACATTACATCCTAGGTACCAAAATGTAAGTTTTGAAAATATGTTATCCAAAATATGAACCAAGTTAAAGTACGTTACTTTTTCATGCAATTTGCCCTATATAATAACAAAATAGACATCATGGAACAAGCAGTATAAAATTAGACCTGATAAATAGGGAAAACTAAGGACGCATTTGGTTGGTTTGTAGGATTTAGAGGGATTTAGAATTTGAATTTCATATCAATCATGCGTTTGGTTTGAAGAAAGGTTTAGATCCATAATATCGTATTTCAATGAAATTTCACAACCGACGTGGATTTCAACTGTTGTCTATCACATCTTTGTCTCGCCTCTTCTATATAATCTGTCATGATCTCTTCATTACCTCAAATCAGACAAACCAAACAAGATTTATAAAAGAATTGAATTGTTACAAATTCATGTATATGAAAGTGATCAACATGTATGCAAAAGTTTGTGAAAGTGACTAAAAAATGAAGTTAAATTTAAAATTCTTATTCTAACAAGATTCCATGGCGATGGTTATCGAATGAGAGACACAAAAGGTCATAAACCATGAAAACCGATATAATTTTTTTCTTCATTATTTAAGGTATTGTTTTACATATGTTTATGTTTATATTATGAAAAATAAGATTCACGTTGTGAAACAAATAAATGTAAAGTTACGATACTATAAAACATACACACACATATATATATAGGGTTGGATTCACGTGAGACAATGAAGTTTTGATGAGACACGTGAGACAATGAAGTTTTGATGAGACACGTGAGATACAATTTTTACACTTGAAACTTCACAACAAAATATTGTGAAGATAAAAAAAAGCTGAATCTCTACGGCAAAAACAAGTTTATCTTCACAGTGTTTTGCTATGAAGTTTTATAAGTGTAAAAATCGTGAAACAAATAAATGTAGTTATGATGCGAGAACACTGGTTTTTCATTTGATTATATAGACTTATTGTTTTTGTAAGAACTGTGACACTACTTTTTTATACTTCAAAATTCACAACAAAACAAACTTTGTTATGAAGGTTCAGATTCACGATGTATTTTTAGTCTAAAAATGTTCTCGCAAACACAACCCTCTGTGTGTGTGTGTATATATATATATATATATATATATATGAAATTCATGTGGATTTGGAATTAGAAAGGAAGAAAGTGAAAATGTATCCCAATGGTGTTACGCATACTTCGTCGAATGTATCATTGAAGGAGATGCGATGTCCGTCCTTCTCGGTATCAACGAGCACGCCATCGCAATCGAAGAGGAGAGCTGAAGGAACAACCGATGGATCAACTGCTGAACATATGAAACTGCTTCCTTTTCTCGATCTTCCATTAAAATCACGAATCAATGGATTCGAGAGCTTGCAGATTGAAGAAGATCGAATGCCGATTATTGAAGGAGGTGATAACGGAGGAGTGATTCGATTTGTGGTCAGATGGCGGGACGATGTCTTTTTGGTGGTGAAATCATGGGAGCAAAGGATTGAGGAAGAAGAAGAAGATGATGAGATTGATGCCATTTTTGGGGTTTTGATTCTTTGGTGGTGAGTTTTTAGTTGAATTTCATGTTTTTTTTTTGGTGAAATTGGGATTTTGTGGAAAGGTGTGTGTGTGTGCGCTCTCTTCAAGCTTTATCTTCTTTGGGTATATGCATTTGCATCGCCACCACATACACCCTCCAAAAGACCCATGGTCAATATTTAATAATGAGGTGTTCAAAATTCCGATCAATCCTGAGTGAAATAACTTGATTTCAAGCAGCTTGATATTTAATCGAGTTGTAAAAAATTTTAACCGTAAGTATTGGGTTGACATTGAATTGCTGTTATTTGAACTCAACCAAACCCAATGAATCTGATATCATTTTATTTCTTAGATTTAGTATGATTGTTGAAATTCTATTAATATATACATTAGACAATTTCACTATCACGTACGCTCTTCATGTACACATATTTTCAATCTGTTCACATATCTATATAACGCATTCATATATATGTTCAGTAACTGTGAATATATATATATATATATGTAAATTGAGAAAATTAACTGAATGTAATATACGTTAGGAATATGGATAAGTTGTATCAAATGGTTGATGATGGAAAAGAAATTATGAGTAGAGAAATAACATATTCAAGGTTAGAAGAATATTTTAATGTACCTAAATATCAAGCTGACTAACCCATATGGTTTGGGTTGGGCTGTGTTGCACTTTGGTTTGAGTTGAATTGAGTTAAGATTTTTCAAACCACTAAGTTGTTCAAATATCTTCAACCCATGAGGACCTCTCGTCAATACCATTGGTTATCCCTTGTGTGTGTGTGTTTTTTTAAATGGGTATTTCCTAAAATGGTCCTAATTAGGGATGTAAACGAGTTGACTCGTAGGTTTAACTCGGTTTAAAAAAATTCTACTAGATTCGAGCTCGGCTCAATTTGCGATTTACTTTTTTTGGTGATTACACATATTTCTTTTTCTCTTTTCGTGAGGTTCTTGGCGATTTTCTAAAATCGTCAACCAATGATAGAGTAGCACACTATTTCGCCTATGACGAATTCCTTTACAATTTACCTGGTCATTTGTGCAACACACAAAAAGTTGGTGATTTTGAGGATTACCCGTTTTCAAAACATAATTATTTGTATGTATATGTATATATCATACAGATAAATAGTTGGTATGATGTTCCTTCGTTTTTATTTTTTTGCTGTTTTTCCTAAACTTGACCTTGACCCTATGTATATCTATACTATATTATAAAGCATTTGACAAAAATTCTTAAAAACTATTTTTTATGCATGAAGTAATGTATATTGATGCATATTACTTAAAATTCAAGATTACAAGTAAATTATGCATAAATACAACTTATTAAAGCTCCATGTTTGAATTCGTGTAACTAATTGAGGATAAACATAATCAAATGGAGGATAAACATATCATTTTAGAATTTAAAAAATCTAATATATAATTAAGATAATTATCGAGTTCTAACAAAATAATTAATTATTATCTTTATAAGAAAATTATATTATTTAACCAAATATAAATTACTTCGTTATTGAAACTAAATTAAATTATA